CTAAGTTATCGGTGTAAGGCCTATTCATAATTTAGGATGAAAAGTGAACAGAGACTAAATAATAAATAAACGCGGTAATCATTCTTAGTAGATGGTAATATATTTGCAACATAGAACAAAACAGTGTGGAAATTATAAACAGGCAAGTTAAAAAAAAAAAGTGATGAAAATATATAAAGTCAATTATTAACCAAAAAAGTATTTAACATATTCTGAGTAAAAGATCAGAAAATGATTATTATTATATTTGTCGTTGTTATAGGTAAAGTTGCACCCAGCAAAAGTAATAGATCAGTTGTCAGTTGTAATCTTTACTCCCTCTACTTATGTGTGCAGTTTAGTTGTTTTGTTTAATCCTATATAATAAAAGGCTAATATGCAAATTGCCCCCTCGATGGGGAGTTTGACTGGAAGCTCAACCAGGAGGCAGGGCTGGCCAGCCAAATGCCCTCGGCCCCTCCCCCTTGACGGCCCCACCTCAGATTGGCGCCCCACCCCAATTGGGGGTGAGGCCAGCCTGCCAACCTTCATCATCCCCTCCCCCTAGTCAATCCAACCTGATTGGCCCCGATTGCAGTGAGCCAGCCAGACCCCCCATGCACAAATTTGGGCACTTGACTTCTAGTTTTAATATAAGCTCCTTGATCTTATCTGTGCATTCCATTAAGCATTCATCTATTCAACTTCTATCTATTGGACAACTTATATTTTGACAGACAATTGAGCTAGTAACTTTGTTCAGCCCCTCTAATCTTTCACCACAATGCTTGGTAGGCATCCTTACTGCTCTGTAATAGATGATAAAATGAATCATGGAGATAAGCAACTCACTCAGGGTTACAGTTAGTACATGGAAAAGTTGGCCTTGAAATCTGAGTCTGGACTGTTTGTTTGAGTGACCTCCTTCTTCTACAAAAGATAGTATCCATGTCTGTATGTGTGTGCACATATATGAAAATGAAACTTACACACTCCAACCTCAGGGATGAAAAGTCTGGGTCTTGTACTTTACTGTGCCTTGCTATATAGATTTTTTAAGGTGTGATTCTGCTACTCAACTTTACTATTTATTTGCTATTGTTTGTTCTCATAACATCACACCTAAGATCATTCTCTACCATGGAGATCCTTATGAGAAGAAAGATTGAAATAAATTTACTTTATGAAACAGAAGCATTTCTTCTGTTTCTTTTTATTCACTTTTTCACTCTGTCCTCTTTATTTTAATATTGATTGTTTTATTTAAATAATGATAATCAATTTTTCATGCAAGTTTTCCATCTCAGCAGACAAATGCATTTAGATAGGCACATACACTAAAAAGCTTTGCTTCTGTTTCTGTGATTAATTGAGATGCAGAGAGTGATGGGTGTGGGGTAAAAATAGAAATGCAATTAGTGCAACTAGGCATGAAATATGTTCAAATACAAGCAGAATGTCTCCCCAGTTAGTGATCTCTTTCTGGGCTCTTGAGGATTTGAATCCCATTAGTAAGTCACTGGAATGGAAATCTTCAGACTTTAGGGAGACCAGAGCATTAAGAAAAATGGAATTAACTTTAACTGCAAACTGAGTCAGCACAATAGACCATTAATTCTTCTGCCTGGGCGTATATCATGCTGAGCTTTGGTGGGCGGGCTTCTGAAATGTTAGAACTGAGTTTATAAAGCATTGCAAGGACTAAATGATGGTTATCTATCATTCTACTGTGACTCAAAACCAGTATTGAAATATAGGCAAATATTTTTGCTAAAACCAATGGCTATGGACCTTTATTTAGAAAAATAGCATACAGTATGTTTTAAGAAAATTAATTTATGTTGCACTTTATGGAATATCAATTATTAATTATTCCTAGTATTAAAAAATCCTTGTTGTCAATTGATATAGAGAGAAAAATCACAATGTCTCAAATATTGTCATTTCAAATTGAGAAATTCCATCTTTCTGTATAGCTCCATAACCAATAGAAGTTGACTAACTTTGCTTTCTTTAGAAATAAATTGTATTACAGATGTTTTAACGTAAATTTATAAGTATAAAATGTATTGAAATATTTTGTATTTTCAAGCTACCTATGGCACTCCTGATTTCTGATCATCTTCACTTTCTTTCTGCATTCTCTTTTGAATCTCAATCTCTAATAGATATCAACTCATTTGATCATCCCTGTGAAGGACAATTGTTAACAACTTCTACTTAGTGATTGCTTACCCAAGGATTTCTCACACTTGGCAATACTGACATTTGGCTCTGGGTAATTCCTTGTCATGAGGGCTACCCTGTGCATTGTGGGATAATTTTAAAGATTCCTATCCTCTGTCCATTAGATTCCATGAGCCACTCCCTATAGTAGCAATGTCCCTTGGTGTCAAAAATCATCTCTGATTGACTAGTTTATCTTCTACTAGATAGTATTTCATTGGAGTCTATCAAAATAAGCAGGACTGTGTTAATTAAAGTCTTGGCAGGAAACAGAACCTACACAGTATGGGCCATAGACTTAGATGCTTAGGGATGCTTAGGCACGCAGAAAATAGCAAAAACAGGAAGCAAAAATAGCAATGATTCCCTCCCTGGGAAGAAGCAAGGAGAGGAAACAATGTTCCTGGAGTGCTGGGCAAGGGGAGCCAGGGATCAGAGGAGACAAAGCTGATGCAGCACTTGTAGAGGAGAGCGCATAGGACATCCTGACCCCTCCCTCCTCCTTAATCTTTAGATCACTAGCAAGTCCCGCCAGTAAGTTGAGCACCAATGAAAGAATTAAATCTTACCAGCAAAGGACCAGAATTATACCACCCTTGGATTCAGCATCCATGAGCTCAGGGATCCAATCAGATGTAAAATAAGGAAGGTGTTAGACTTCTATGTTTTACAATGAAGAGTCAGGCTCAGAAAGCACTGGGATCTCATTGATAACCCACAGCTGAGAAGTGGTGTCATGTGGACTCAACTCCATTGTTTCCACTGAAAACACAATGCCTTTTCTTCTCCATCTTTGGAAGTGGTTAATCAATTTATTTATTCCCTCTGGACAGGTAGCCTATGGTTTAATCCATCTGGATGCATCATAAAATCATGCCTAGATCCAAGTCTCAGAATCTGATATTTCTTCTACATATCCATTTAGCTAGGAATTCCTCTTTATTAGTTACAGCTTTCCAGAGGCAAAATTTAGTGTGATTAGGGGAATTTTAAAATAAATATATATAAAGAAAAAGTCTAATTAAATTAATACAGTGGGAGGCCCAGAAAGTGATACACTTTAGGAGTCCAGTCATTGGGCTTTCTGTTCTAGATCCTCATTTCTTCCCTCTCCCCATTTTCTACTTGTACAATATTTTCAGGACCCAATTTTTTTACCTTTTTCAATATTTTCAGGCATAAAAACAGTTGTAAAACACAAAAAAATTAACTTTTTTATTTTTTGCAACTGAATATTTCTTTCAAATTTTAGTTCCAAGAAAACCTATAATACATGGGCTCTTGGTCCAAGGAGAAGCTGCAGAGAAGTGGTGTGGGTGGGAGGGAAGCGTTGAGCGGGGAGATAGGACAAAGAGAAAAACTTAAGTAGAAATATGTAAAGTCTAAAAGCAAAATAAATAAAGAGATGAATAAACTTTCAAGTTCTACCTGTGATACTATTTGCAGTCTGTACAATACAAAATTCCTTCAAAGAAAGCATTCTCACAGATCAAAAAATCTGGCTAAATTATAACATTGTGTCTGGTACAGATGATTAACAATGCTTTGGAAAAAGCAGTTTTTGTATTTTTTGTGGTATTCAGACTTAAGGTGGAGGACCAGCATTTTCAGTAGTTAGAAGCCTGGACTCGATCTAGACTCCCTGATACAGGTTCCGGCTTCATCCCAGTTTGTCTATGACCTTGGGCAAGTTACTTACTTCTCTCTGTGTTTTGTTTTCACAATGATTTATAATCAATGTATAAATAGAGTCTATGCCATATGGATATTTTATGCTTAAACAAGTTAATATTGACCAAGTGCTTAGAACAGTTTGTCATAGAAATCAATCATTACATAAACTCTAGCTATAATCAGAAGTCATTATATAAATGTTAGTTATCACTATATAAATCAGTGAAACATAGGAATCACTATATAAACTTTATATAAAATATATGATGTAGAAATCACTATATAAAAATTAGCTAACATCAGAAATGTCTTTTCAATCATCATCATCACCACCACTACCACAACTACCACCACCTCTACCACCATCACCACCACCATCATCATCATTGATTTCTACCACCCAGAAAGTCAATCCAATATTTCCATTCTTCTAAAATATAATTACTTGAAAACCCAATAAATCATGACTAATTATAAAGTATCACTACTTTAAATAGTTTAACCAAGAAATAACAACATATATGTGAATAATGTGCAATTGTATTTCAGAACGTATAGCCTAACGCATAAATTTTTCACGCTAAGAATTGGCCACCCTTCCTTTCTAATTCATTGTATACTCAATGAACAGAAAGTTTTATTCAAAGTGGTCAGAATGCAACATAAATTATATGCTACTGAGGTGTCTTCTTACTACCAGAAGTCAGGCCAGAGTCCCTGAAATCACATGAGGGTACTGTTTTTGTGGTTATTGAGTTTCACCCTTGAGAAAATTAGAAGGGCTGACACAGAAGGATAATAAATCTTACTCTGACCCAAACTTATTTAGTGATTAAGTTTCCTGCTACCAATTCAATTCTGTTAGATAAAATAAATACAAAAGTAATGTTTTAACTCCTTTTCCACTTTACATTTAGAGAAGGATACAAGCATTCCGTACATCTCATAAAAATACGTACTATATGTCTGTTTAATGCAAGGTCAATGCCTTATTTACTTGCTTCGGGTTTTAATTTGAGGTGACAAGGGACCAAAAATAAAAGGGGGAGCCACTTTTATACACAGAAGTGATTGGCTCTCTATTTTTAATTTTTATCTATTTTCTTTGTCTCAATCCCCAGCCTCTGAGCCCAACTTGAAGGTGCGGTCCAGGTTAAAACAGAAAGTGGCAGAGAGGAGAAGCAGCCCCTTACTCAGGCGGAAGGATGGAAATGTTGTCACTTCATTCAAGAAGCGAATGTTTGAGGTGACAGGTAATTGAGGACTGGGCAGACACACTCTAAAAAAAAAATGCTTGTCGTAGGAATGAAAAAGAAAAGCTTAGAACAAATATTCCTGTTGCATATTGAAAGTTATTTTAAGGAGAAACATTTCTTGAAACAAGATTATATTGATTCACTAGTAGTTCAGTAAGTCTTGCCATGCATTCACCAACTTTGTTAAACAGGAAATGAATGAAAAACAAAAAAATGTGTCAATCTAGGCATAACTAGGGAAGCCAAAGCTCACCTTAATCTTTTCAGAAACAGGCAGTCCATTTGGGGAATGCCAACCATGAGGATATAACTTTTAATGAAATTTGATGAGAAATGAGCAGAGGGAGGTCGGAGACGAACACTTCCCCCATACTCAGAAATGAATGTAGGAAATACATCTGGGAAAATTAAACTATGTGGAACAGCAAACCTTGACTTTTCAACAAATTTACAGAACTCATAAATGACTTTATGTGTTTACTAGTGAACTGGGACTTATGGCAGGAGGGGGATATATTGCCTTTTATGAAGGGAAAGAATCTGTCATTTTCACTAGTCTCAAATGGAAGAGTTCTTATTTTTTTAGCTGCCCAGTTAGTAGTGGGGTGAACAGGTTAGGAAATTCAACCTGATGTCTTACAAAGCCCCCTAGTCCCAGTTGTACCTGGTCTGAAATTAGAGAAAATCTAGGGATACAAGAACAAAAAAAGGCTAGCTAAAACAATAATACCAACTACTGATTAGTGAGTATCTACTTAGAGATATGCATTGTGTCTGATCATTTCATTCAGTTGCATCAATAAAGAAGTGGCAATCTACAACTATTTTTCTTCATTCTCAAGGAAAATTGTGCTTATACAAATGTAATCAGATGATATATTATTTCTCCAAGACCAGATTCTATTCTTAGCAGATTTCTAAAAAGTATTTTCTTTCTGTATCTCCTTTACCAATGATAGTGTCTACTTTGGTGAGGCAATATATATATAGAGGATACTAATGCAATTTATTAGTTTGACAAATTATTTAGGGAGAAAAAGTTTAGTCTTCTATTAAATTGTGACAGATTAATATGTTTATCTAAAGAAAAGTATTAGTGGGGAATTTTTTCCTTGAGTGATAAGAAATACTAAATAAATAAAGAAAAATTATTTTGACTAGAGTTTATATTTATTTTATACTATAAAATATAATCACTAACTTAGATTAATGGGATTCTAAACTCAGAGTTAATAGACTTTTTTTCAAGTAAAAATCATAAGTTTTCATAATAGAGGTCCTTGGTGTGGTTGGAGAGTTGGGGAGTGAAGCAGTATTTTAATGAATACAAAGAAAAATCAACATATTAATTGTCTAATATAAATAGATATAGGCGATTTTTCTAATTGGGGAATGCAGACTCCCTCATAACAGAAAAACTTGCAGTAAATAGAAAACCATATAAATTTCTTTTTTTAACTTTAAATGTTTATTATGTAAGACCATATTTATTTATCACAATGTTCTTTTCTACTTTCCTCTTAACTTTTTTTTTTTATCATAACCCTTTTCTTCAGTCACATATTTCTTAACAAATTGCAGTGAAATTCCGCTTAATACCTATCAGAGTTACGATTAATTCTCATTTATAAGGGTCACCATTTGCTAGTGTTTAACTCCAGTTTATTTTCTTTGAAGTGTCATGTTATTCTTTTCCTAATTTTGTGAGGTAATGACTCCCCTTTTCATCTGAGAATAATAATCTGCATTCAAAAAGAGGCCTGGGCATGTAGTGGACACACATTTCTAGTCAACGAACAGAAGATCGGTGGGGCTTTAGTAGATATTTAAACTGGTTTGTTGTACTTGCTCTAAATGTGTTAGGAGAATCTGGATTACAGGTCATACAGCTTTCTTGACCTGTCCTCCTTGTCCTCGCTCTGCCAGTTTTTGTGTCATTTGGGTGAGCTCTGTTTGTATCTCAATGCCAGTTATTTTTTGCTCTCTGGTCACAGAGTAGCAATAGCATCATAGCAGTTAAATCGCTCTTGCTTTTTGGCTCTCACGGCTGTGTCTTCTTCAGTGCATAGGCTCAGTGGCTGCCGTCTGACACCCATACCTCCTCTTTCCTCCCAGGAGATGACATGGAACCACCTTCCTCTCTCTCTCTCTCTCTCTTTTTTTTCTTTAAAAAAATATTTTATTGATTTTTTACAGAGAGGAAGAGAGAGAGATAGTCAGAAACATTGATGAGAGAGAGACACCAATCAGCTGCCTCTTGCACACCCCCTACTGCAACCAAGGTACATGCCCTTGACCGGAATTGAACCTGGGACCTTTCAGTCTGCAGGCCGACGCTCTATCCACTGAGCCAAACCAGTCTCGGCCATCTTCCTCTCTTTCAAACTCAAAATTTCCGCCCATCTCCCTTCTCAGGTCACGTTGTTTGTCAGTTCTAAGCCTTAGCACATCCCTGTGCCCATGGCACCCTCTATTCCATTCTCCCATTCTCCATTGTCCCCTTTTCCTGAACTACTCTTGGGTAAGTTCTTACTGCATAACTTTTCTGGGATTTTTCTGGTTGTTCCCAGAAAGTCAGTTGCTACATCTCCCCCCAAACCTTTTCCAGTGGGAAGTTGTAGAATCCTGTCCCAATACGTGTTGCCTTCCATTGTAGTGCTTATCACAGTGATTCTACATAAGGAAATCCCCTTCCCCCCATCTGAATATCACATAAGATCATATCAATAATATAATGTTAAACTGATAAGACAGAATGTTTATGGCAGTAGTTTCTGTTTTTTTTTTTGTTTTTTTTTTAAAGCAGGGTATGGAAATGAGACATCCAGGAAAAATCAGTACTAGTTATAGAGGAAAGACAAGAGTTAGGAGTCTGGGGGTAGAAAAGAAGCTTCTAGAAGGATTTTTTTTTTTTAATGTGTGTTTTCTTCTTTAAAAAAAAAAATAGCCAAGACAGAGGTAGAGGTTAAAAAAAAAATCAAGCCCACGATTGATCAGAATGTATGCAAGATATACAGACAGAAAGGTAGTAAGCAAGATATGTTTAAGAATCTTGATACCCAAGACTTGATGAAATCCCACAGTCAGTAGGTGGCAGGATCAGAATTCTGTCATCCATCTCATGTTCTTTCCTTTGGCATGGCACCCCTGAATAGAGAAATCTTGATAAAAGAATGTTGAAATTTGGGGGTGTTCTAAGGAAGGACAGACAAATATTGGCCACAAATTGGGAGCTCCTGTTCCCTGGCAGACAGACAGTGTATGCGCCAGGCTATCATCTTCAAGGTAGGATTGGGCTTGCAATGAAACAAGTGGAGGAGAAGGTGGATGAAAAGCCTGAAAAGGGGCACTTAATGGGGAGGAGTTGATTAAATCTGAGTGTAGGACGCAGGAAGGACAATAACAGAAAATCATGGTAAGTTCCATTTAGAAGCAGGGACAGTGATCTGAAATGTTTTAAACGGAGCCTGAAGGTCATTAGGAAGGTCAGACTTAGACATCTTGGCACCCAAATGAGGTTTGGGTTTTGGACTTTTTTGTGGCTTTAGACGTACATTCTGGAACTTGACCCTTGCCCTCTTACCTTAAGAATTTCATCCCCTGGACCTGACCAAACCTTTCTGAGCCAGCGTCCCACCATGTTAACTAGCCAGTAGGAATAGTTTCTTTGGTTCCAGCATGTGGTTTTTGCCTTTATAAGCTCTGGCTGTCTTTGTCTTCCCCGGGGCACAGGTTGGTTAGCCCTCTGAATCTGGGTCTCCCAGATCCAGTCTGTTTTACATTCCAGATAAACTTCTAAACTGTTGGACAGCTTCAGACCTTTATGGGAAAAGTTGTCTCACTGTGACCCATCTCACTGGCAACAGTGTAGGGGAAAGTTTGAGAAGCTACTATAGTAACTCAGAAATATCAGCATACTTTTCTAGAGACCCTGAGAGAATAATGGAGGTTGAGGGCTTAAGTTGGATTTATGGTAGTCAGAAGCAGATGAGAGATCATGTAAAGAACAAATAGAACTAACCTATTAATAGTAACTGATTAGTTTGGGGGTAAAGAAGGGAGTGAGATGACTCTGAGGGTGGTGGTAAGCAGAGATAAGCAGAACACATTTAATACTGGAATACACTGAATTTGATTCACATATAATGAGAGATTAAATGTCTAGCATCCCAAAAGGATTCAGGCTGGGATTTATGAGAGGTAAAGGCAAGAAATATAATTTCCATGAGATGATAGTGGATGTCACAATATTAAATGATTTTGACAAGGGAAGGAGACTGGGGATAAGGCCACAAACTTAGGTGAAATATTCACAAATGCCTCATCATTCTTTTTACTTACCAAAATGGTGCTTATTCTTCCATTGGGGGATAAAACAAGGTTCAAGGCTGTCTATTTTTTAGAGTAGAACTAAATTCAGTTTTCTCATTTTATAAGAATAAATTTGTGCTTTCAAATGTTTTTCAGAGTCCTCCGTCAGTAGCAGTTCTCCTGGGTCGGGTCCCAGTTCCCCAAACAATGGGCCCACTGGAAATGTCACTGAAAATGAGACTTCGGTTTTGCCACCAACTCCTCATGCGGAGGTAAGACTCATATTATTTTGGTTCTTCCAAAAGTTAGATCTTCCTCAATCAGCTCCTGAAAACACAGTGTTGTTTCTGAATGGCAGATTAAAGCCACCTGTTTTTAGTGACTTTTCTTATAAATTTGTAAAATGTGGAATTGAGTAAACTTGACCTTATTTACAAAGTCTGGACACAATCAGATCTGAAAATATTGAAATGTCATCCTTGTGCACTCAATGATGCTGAGTTTATGCTGCCCAGAAGTTGAGCAGCTCAGTAGTCCTTCTACTTGGTTCTTGGTTTTGTGTGTGTGTGTGTGTGTGTGTGTTTTGTTTGTTTGTTTTGTTTTTTTGTGGGTTTTTTTTTCTGTGTGTGTGTGTGTGTGTTTTATGAGAGTAGACATATCAGTAAGTATAAAAACAACTTCATGCAACCTCAAGGAACAACAGTACAGCAAGGTAGGTTTTATTCATTTGACCTAAGAGAAATTTTTTAAAAAATGGAATATTATAGTTGAAGAACATTGTAAAAATGTGCTCCACTGAGCAAACACTTATGAAGCACCTACTATGTGGCAGTCACTTTGCCTGGCAAGGGGAATATAAAGATAAATAAGGTAGGGACTTTGTCCTTGAAGAATAAAATTTTAAAATTGGTCTAAAATAACACACACGCATTTTTTTGTGATTATATCCAATCAAGTGTATTAACATTTATTTTTCAATGAATAATTTATTGAAACCAGTGCTAAAAAGAAAAGAGGAAAGTAAATCAGGAGTCAGCAAGAATTTGTCTGTGTAGTTTCAGTATTAGGCTAAGCAAAGGCATTAGCCTACAAATAGCTGCTCTTGTGGCATCAGCTGTGTTGAAGTTGCTGTCAGTTGATTGACACTCTCACTTTTTCTTTTCTGTCATAGCAATGCCTCCTTCCCATGCATTGCTCTATGCAGGGAAAGCCCGAGCAGTAACTTCTTATTTATAACTGTAACATACTTCACCCCCTGTATTTTATAGAGTTACCAGAGGCTTGGTGCATGAAATTTGTGCACAGGGGTGGGTGTCCCTCAGCCTGGCCTGCACCCTCTCCAATCTGGGACCCCTCGAGGGATGTCTGACTGCCTGTTTAGGCCCAGTAGGATCAGGCCTAAATGGACAGTTGGACATCCCTCTCACAATCCAGAACTGCTGGCTCCAAACTGCTCATCTGCCTGCCTTCCTGATTGCCCCTAACCACTTCTGCCTGCCAGCCTGATCACCCCCTAACTACTCCGCTGCCAGCCTGATTGATGCCTAACTGCTCCCCTGCCAGCCTGATTGCCCCTAACTGCCCTCCCCTGCAGGCCTGGTCACCCCTAACTTACTCTGATACAGGCCTGCACCCCCCAAATGTTCTCCCCTGCCCTTTCCTGCAGACCCTGTCACCCCCAACTTCCCTTCTCTGGGTCCCCCCCAACTGCCCTTCCCTGCAGACCCTGTCACCCCCAACTTTCCTTCTCTTCAGGCCTGCTCCCCCCAACTTTCCTCCCCTGCAGGCTTGATCGTCCCTCTCAACTGACCTCCCCTGCTGGCCATCTTGTGGTGGTCATCTTGTGTCCACATGGTATCAGGATCTTTGACCACATAGGAGCAGCCATCTTTTGCATTGGAGTGATGGTCAATTTGCATATTACTCTTTTATTAGATAGGATGATAACTTGAGGCTAAAACGGACTGATCACATATCTGATTTTTGGATCACCTGTATAGTTTTCCTGATACGTAATTATGAAACTTCTACTAGAACACTTCTACATACAGGGAGCTCACTTCACTGTCTCTCATGACAATTGTGTTAATTTGGGACAGTGGAGCATGACTGACAGAAATGTCCTCTGTATCTTGTACCTCAATCTGTGTCTCTAACACTCACACTTACATACATGCACACAGATTTGTAATAAATTACTTATAAATGCTTTGACTAAAATATAATTGAAATAAAAAATCCAGAGTGTATCCATGGAAGCAAAGAACTGAAGCTAATGAGGTCACCTTTGCTCCTAGAACACATGTGTACTTGGGTTTTAGTTTTCAAGGCCTCACAAAACTCTGGAGATAAAAAGAAAAGGCCAGTACTGACCAAAGAGGATAATGTAATAGAAGACCCTCCAAACCCTAAACTGGGACCCCAAAGGCCTGTATCTATGCAACATTGACAACCCCACCCCAGAGGTGTCCTGATGGGGACCACAATGGTGCAGAATCTTTCTTCAGAAATTGTAACCAAAGCTAGTCCTTGCATAGAGTTGTAACCCAGATTTACAGACCCTCAAACTGATAATTTGGTTTAAAATGCCCCAGATTTGGAGTTCCCCTGAGTTTCTGGAAAAAAAAAAAAAGAAAACATAAATCCTTTCTAGGGAAATGTACATTTATTCTAAGTTTCAAAAATGTCTCAATTTTCCAAGGAAAATGAGGAGAGTAGATAGGTACTGTCTCGCTTGTAATCGTTGTTTAGCTAATTGAAGAATAACAACTCTGGCCTCTACATTCTCTCCAGACCCTTCATCTGTTTCTTGTTTCTTACTAGACTGTGGCTCTTCAGGCCCTTTTCTGTTATCTTAACTAAAGCATAATGCCTGATGTGGCCATAGATGTCAGCGGGATTTTTGGACTATTGGTTATAGGTATTGTATTTGTTTGTGCAGTTATATATCCAGGATTGGTCAGTTTTCAGCAGCCCTTTAGTCCATTTACAGGAAAAGAACAACTCAGTAGCAATTATTTCTTAAGAATGTTAGGTTTCCATCCATTGCCATTTTAAAGAATGTGATCTTCAGTAATAGCTGGAATACTGAAGGGCTCTAAAGGGTGTGGCTCTGGGTGAATTTGCCCTTGGAAAAAGAAAATGACACAGTAAACTGTGTCAGCACGTGTGATTCTCAGAAATGCATTGTTTATGCAAAAAGGTGCAGAAGAGCACTTCCCAGCATGGCAGTATTTTATAGGTTCAGAAGCAGCAGCATGGCATTTTGATCAGGAAACCGTATGCAGTAAAAGTATATTTTTAAAAGTCAAGGGAGTGATGAACACAAAAGTTAGCATGGCGGTTAACTCCCAGGAGGGAAGGAGGGGTTAGTGACATGGTCAGTTACTAAAGAGGAAGATGCATATATTCACCAGTTATAAACACCTATCTACATGTAGTATTTTGTACCACATGAAGGAACAACCAGGAAATATTATGTATTCATGGGACCGGAAATAAATGGAAAAGGAGAGATTTTTTCTCTTCCTTTCAAGCTTTTCATGACCCTATCTTTAAATTTCAAAATACGTGGAGAGGAGTATGTAAAGGAAAGGAATTTGCTTATATTATTTTAGACTCTTTTTTATCTTCCTAAAAGGTTGACTGTCACAAATATTTGTTTAGATGCCCAAGGATTTCAGGTAATTGTTGAACATATTCCATCACTAGAAACTTTCCTTCTACCCGAATTGTTTAAAAAAAAAAAAATGAAAACAACAAAAACAAATAAAAACCAAACCAGAAGGAAATGTGATTTAGAGCAGTTTGAAAGAGTAGAGGTATTTCTTCAGGTCAGTGCCAGGACATTCACCTCCAGAACTGGGAAGACTAGTTCAAAAGCAAGCAGTGACTTACCCCATAATGAATTAATTGTGTGCCTGAACTATGAACCAAAAGGCCAGGTGGGCAGACCTTTCTACCCTGATGGGTAGCCTCTCCATGGCCCAGAACAAGAAATTCCACCCTGATGGCTAACATGTGCTTTCCTGCTGCATTTACAAGGGTCTGTAGTGTAATTCATACTGGAAAGGGGAGGAGACAGCGCAAGGCAGGCTAAACCTCTCAGCCAATTAATGTCTTGGTTACACTGAAAGCTTCCACTGAAGCTAGGGAAAAAGATGAACAAACTATTTTCAGTCAATTCTTGATTAGCAATCACTTTGAGCTTAATGTGATTTTTTAAAGACATATTCTAAGATGAATAAGAACATATAATTTCATATCGACCAATGTTGGAGGTCTGAAAGTTGAATATCATTAACTACACTTTCAAAAATCAAGTGAGTTGCGTATTTCCCCATTTACAAAACAGGCTCATTCTACCCTCCTTGCTTACATACCAGGGGTGAGTTTTTCTTTTAAAATCCTCTAATAGGGCGCATGTGAGCGAATTCTTTGTTCTGTGACCTGTGCGTAGGAAAGCATGTCACCTCATTCATTCAGAGCCCATGTACATGAAGGGGCTTCCACTCCCTCTGCTCCTTGGGGAGGAAGGAAAGGAAGCCTGTTTCTCAGCCTGAACGGGAGGCTCAGACGAAAAGAAAATGTTCTGTCTTGTAATTCACATGCGCTGCATAATGTAGATAAAGGTTAAGACACAGGCTGGAGGACAGTTTACCCAGAAGCGCAGAATAAGAGAACAGAACAGCGAATTGATGTCGGCGGCTTTTCCATTCAGAAGGCTTTGTTGGGACCTTGTCTGGAAACCAGGTCCTTTGTGGTCATTGGTTAAGTCCTTAAACTCACCCTGGATCTCAGGTGTAGTGAAAGGTAGTGACACCTCCCCACGGCTTGTTGGAATCCGTGTTTGCAGGGCAGGTGGTACATTGGAAGTGGGGAGGAGAGGGGGCAAGTTCATTTCTTGTTATTGTCAGAACTGACGACTAATGGGGAAAACTCATTAGCATGTTTGTCTTCCAGCCAGCACATCGCGTGTGCCAATTGGCCTCCATCTGCTCTGACCACTTCTGCTCCAGTTCTTTTGTCTGTAATTTCTTTATTGATTAAGGTATCACATATGTGTCCTCATCCCCCCATTCCCATCCCAAACCCCTCCCTACATATGCCCCCACCCCTCTGTTGTCCATGGCCACTGGTTAGGCTTATATGCATGCATACAAGTCCTTTGGTTGATCTTTCCCCCCTTCCCCCACCCTCCTCTATCTTCCCTCTGAGGTTTGACAATCTGATCAATGCTTCCCTGTCTCTGTGTCTGTTTTTGGTCATCAGT